CATTGTAATACCGTTTTAGCTCACTTTTGTTACTAGTTACCTTACTGTTTTTATATTTTCAGATTACAAAAATCTATATCTACCATCCATATTGCACTTGTATCACCATCTCTTCGCCGAACTAGTGCACCTGTAGAACTTACCATTGTATTAGGTGTGTTGGGGACACAAGAGACTCTTTGTTATTTGGTTGCAGGGTTGTTTGAGAGAGACCATCTTCATTCAACGACTCCCACGGATTGATAAACCTTAGGTCATCCAATTGAGGGAAATTTGCTACTGTCCTACAAACCTCTGCACTTGGAGGCCCAACAACATCTACAAGAAGAAGGTTGAGTAATAGACATCACGCAATGCATCTTGATGGTGGACAACAGAGCAACTCCAATCTCCGTGGCCAGCAGCACGAACACACGATAGCGCGCCTCGAATGAATCCATGGAATGCGAGCGCACTAGCTGCACATGGCTCGTCTCCGGAGAGAGACATAGCTCACCTCGACACCAAACCTCGGGGGAAAAGCCCTTTTCAGCAAGCTGCGGATCGATACAACGCCGGCGCCGACCGGCGTCGCGACACTACCGCCATCTTTGCTCTCGCCGTCCACAGACATGGTGGTGGAGGTGACGCTCGCGCTGCCCATCAAAGAAATCTAGGGTTTGCAGGAATTGGGGATTTTTTCCACAACCAAGCAGCAAGCCACCTTATCCGCTAGCAGTGGTCCCGTAAGGGGTATATGTACGTGACGCACCGAGGACTGGCGTTTCAACCTCTAGGACGGTATAAGAGGTGCATTTGCATATATCGGGACTGTATTAGAGCACTTTCCAACCACAAGGATCATGTTAAAAGTAGCTTCCGTGCAATTATCTCTCCAAATAATTTCCTTTACTGATTTTGTGTACAGCCAGGTCGACATAAGAGCATCTCCAACAGGCACGCAACGCGCAGTGCGCTAAAACAAGTTTCACTGTGCCGAAATAGCATGTTTTACGCCCAACAGAGTGTTGGCTCCAGCTGTCGCTGCAAAATATTGCGCGCATGAGCCGCTTCAACATGCGCTGCAAAAATCGACGCGCAAGAGCAGCGAAAGCACATACGAACAATTTTAAAACAACATAAAGATAAAATTCAACAATACAAATAGCATACTTCAACCCAACACCACAAACTAGTCTTACGATACAAATAAAAATAGATAATATACTACGGTGCAAACAAACTAGAAACTACTCCGAGTTGTCCTCCTCCTCGATGGTGTAGTCTGACGACGACAGAAACGCGTCTTCCCACCGAGGATTCATCGTCAAAGATCGACGCCTGTCCCAGTTCGCACTGCGATATGGCCAGTGCCTTCAGCCGACGCCTGTCCGCCCATTCCGCGCGCCGCTTTGCCCTCTGTCAGTGTCAAAACCGGCGGATCTCGGGTAGGGGGTCCCGAACTGTGCGTCTAAGGCTAATGGTAACAGTAGGTGGGGGCCACAATGTTTACCCAGGTTTGGGCCCTCTCTATGGAGGTAATACCCTACTTCCTGCTTGATATATCTTGATGATATGAGTATTACAAGAGTTGATCTACCACGAGATCGTAGAGGCTAAATCCTAGAAGCTAGCCTATGATTATGATTGTTTTCGTCCTACGGACTAAACCCTCCGGTTTATATAGACACCGGAGGGGGCTAGGGTTACACAGAGTCTGTTACAGAGAAGGAAATCTACATATTTGAATTGCCAAGCTTGCCTTCCACGCAAAGGAGAGTCCCACCCGGACACGGGATGAAGTCTTCAATCTTGTATCTTCATAGTCCAACAGTCCGGCATAAGCATATAGTCCGGCTTTCCGAGGACCCCCTAATCCAGGACTCCCTCACCCTCCTCTCCGCCAAGAATGCATTCTCATTGGCGACGTCCTGCGGGTAGCATTGGCGCCACTCCGCCATGGCTTGCTCATCCGCCTTGACAATGAGAAGGCGGCGCTGCTGCCTGCGGTGTTTGTGACGGTCCTCGTCGGTTATTAGCCGCGGCGGAGGCGCGAGGTCCTGCGCCTGCTGGCACGTCCGCGCGTCGTCAAAGTTCATCTGCGAGCGTGGTTTCGACAGGCGCCACGCGACCGCATCGTACGCGTGGGCGGCCTCGTGCGCGGTCACGAACGTCACGAGACCGAGACGCACGCTATCGGAGCAGATCTCCGCGTAGAACATGCTGGAGGGGCGGACGCAGATGCCGCGGTAGCCGGAGCTACTCCGGGCGCGCGACGGCATGTCGGCAGCAGGGAAGAAGGCTTCCGCAAAAGGACGTGACGGCGGCGGGGGAGAAGGCATCGGGAGAAGGGCGCGGGGGCGGCGGCGGGGCGCTGGATGCGAGGAAGAAGGGGGCGACGGGGGGAAGAAGAAGCGGCGGGGCGCTGGATGCGAGGAAGAAGGGGGCGACGGGGGGAAGAAGAAGCAGCGGGGCGCTCGAGTGTGTGGTTGGCCGGCTCGGGCGCACGCGTTTTATAGAGCGCGTCGGACGCCGCGCGCCGGAGCGCTTTTTCGCGCGCGCGTGATTTTTTGCCGCGCGCCATAATCTCCCACGCCTGCTGGAGCGCGTGAAACCGCTCCGCGCCCACTAAAACACAGTTTTCCTCACGCGCGTTATATTTACCGCTGCTGTTGGAGATGCTCTAACAATAAGTTCCTCTCTTGTCCTCCCCACACAGTCGGGAGCTCGTCTTCGTTGGTGGGCGTGTGGAGCTGTGTCTCCGACAGATCTATCTTTGGTGGATTTGCTCGGATCTCGCCGTTGTTCGTCTACGTTCGTGTATCTTCGGGTTGGATACTTCTGATCTACGTTATTCTTCATCTGGGGAGGTTGCTGTTCTGGTGCGCTTGTCCTACGTGGCCTTAGCACCACGACTTCCTGACTGTCTACTACAACAAGTTGTGCCCGACTCCGGCGATGGAGGGGCGATGACGGCAGCGCGCCTTCGGCTCGCTTCAGTGCTTGTAGTCGTCATTAGGTGGTCTATTGATCTAGATGTAATTTTTATTATTTCTGGTATTCGTTGTACTGCCATAATCGAAGATGAATAGATCGCAATTTTCAAAAAAACACAGTTCCTTTCTTCTCCTCCGCAAACAGTCGGGAGCTCGTCTAGCCAGCGAAGAAACGAAACCGATAGTGTAAAAGCAAAGCCGCGACCCGCGAGGCCCACACCGCCGCACACACCGAACGCCGTACTCCCCCACCACCCATCCACTCCACCTTTTGATCGCTCAGGGCCCCGCCGCCTTCACTCGTGGCGATGCGCCACACGCGTCCCGTTCCAGCCCGCCCGTGCTGTCCCCCACCCCACGACACGCCTCCTCGCACGTGAACCTGCGCGCAAGCAATTGCCCGTCGACACGTCCCGACGCCACCCACTGCGTATCCTCCCGGGCCATGCTCATTTGACTGACTGGTCCATGGGGACAGCGAGCCCATGCTCCCACCGGTCATCGTAACCTGATCGTAGCATACCACCACCTATGCCTCTTTTATTCCTCGCGGCGAATAAACGACAAGGCAGCACCGGGCGGGAAGCAGGGCAGGAGGATGGCACAGGCATGCAAGATTCACTCACAGGCAGGTCCCGACGATCGCGACCCCACCAGACATGGGCGCTGCACCGTCCGGCGCCGCTTGCCCCAGCTGTGGCTGTGGGCGTGGAGTCGTCCGTCTAGGACTGATGAAAAGCGAGCAGCGGCGCGGTCGTATTAGCTAGGGATGTCGTCACGCGGGCAGGGGGAGAGAGAGTTCAAGGCATGCAAGATTCACTGACAGGCAGGTCCCGACGATCACGACCCCACCAGACATGGGCGCTGCACCGTCCGGCGCCGCTTGCCCCAGCTGTGGCTGTGGGCGTGGAGTCGTCCGTCTAGGACTGATGAAAAGCGAGCAGCGGCGCGG